GCCCAAGCAGGTGCTTTTCCTCTTTTGCCTTAAAAAAAACAAAAACAAAAAAACAACCTTCACAGGAACCCACTTTCTAAATGTGGAGATAGTGGGCCCAGAAAACAGGGGTGAGGGGCTCCGGTCAGATCCACTGGAGGGGCCCACGCTTTGGCTCAAAGGTCAGTGGGGGCAGACATTACACTGGCCTAGGTTAAATTCCTTTGCACACAAAAGGTCACCTATCTCACCATCAGGTTCCCTGGATGGGGAATGCTGGTCCAGGTGGGGGTTCTTCCCTTTGGAGCTCTGAGGGGTCACTTCTGAGCCCATCCTGCCTGCATCTGCCCTCCCCATGGGCTCCTCTCCCCTTCCCAGCCACATGGGCCTCTGGGTTTGGTCTCAACTTCCCGACCCCTCCCTGCCCACTCTGACGAGGTGCCTGGTGGGACTGCCAAGATACAAGTCCCCAGGTGATTCCCAGCCACACGGATCCCACCAAACTCTCCTCGAGCCAGGAGGATGGGCCAGACAGAGAAGGATGCTTTTTGGACTTCTCTACATTACGGCGCTGTCTGGGCCAGACGGTAGCCTGGTGGTTAATATGGCTGAATCCCACATATCCACTCACGTAGTTCAAGTCCCAGACCCAACGGCGTGGAAGACACACTGGGCACAGGCACGTACGTGACAGATCCCGGAAGGACTGCAGTGAGAGTATACCCTATGGGAAGTGCTTTCTTGCTGTCCTCTCCCCCCAACACACACCGTCTCTGTCTCCCTCTGGCAGCTGCGCCCTCTGGCAAACACAAGAATGAGTACAGGACGCTGCCTGACAGTCTCTGCTTCGCATGTTTTCCTTCGTGGCCCCACTGGAACAGCACGGGGCCTCGCTCTTTTGGAGAACGGTCACCCCGCAAGAAAGCGGAACCTGGAAAGCCTCGTCTCAGATCTGCTCACCTGCCATCCCTCTAAGGGGAAAAGGTGTCCGCAGTGATGGAAAAGCCCCAGCAGGGCACCGAGCCAGCAAAGGTCAGGCATGCTCAGGCTGGTGGTGCTGATAGGCGGGGGGCCGGCAGGCACCTGCAGGCCCACAGCAGGCGCACGGGCCACTGCGGTGTGGCCACACTGACGACAGCTACGCTGGGGCCTGTAGGAGGAGGGAAGACGGCCTCTGGGACAGAACTTGGGGTATGACGGGCATCCCTGACAAGGACTGATTTAGGTCATATGGCGTGGCCTCCTTTGTAGTGTGGGACCTTTACCTGTCCATTTAGAGCAATGGGGGGCGAGCACATCCTCACCGCAATTCCAGGTGCACATTAGGGCTTGGTGGACACGTGTTGCCTGAGTGTTCAGAGCACAGTGGCCACTGCCATTCCTTTCCACTGCCAGCGTCACGGGCGGGGGTGTGACCCAACTCTCAGCCGGACCCCACCAAGCAGGCTGCTACTCGCCCCACCTAGGGTGCTGGCGGCCCTGGGAATTCTCCCGCCACACAGGGCCTATTCTTACCAGTCCAGGGACAAGGCCACGCCTGCCCTGGAGGGCGAGGAGCAGCACCTTGAAGGCAATCGCCTCTGCAGTCACTCTGGGTATGCCACGGCCCAGCTCAACCTGTACCAAGTGGGGACGGACCTTCCGAGCAACCCTGGGATCCACAGTCTCACCGTGCCCTGGCCAGGGCAGCAGCGGCTAGAGGTCTGGTCCAGCCCTCAGAAAGAATGCAGGGAGGTACAGGTTGGTTCAGGTGGCAGGTACCACAAGGAAACCACCTTGGCTGACATGGGTGTCCACAGGTCTCTAACTCAGGCAGGGCAAGGGAAACTGAAGCAAGGACTGGGGAGGCCAGGGCTCGCGGACCTGGTCTCGGCCACCGAGCCTCGCTGCTCCAGACCGAATGAGCAGAAGCTTCCTCCTCCAGACCATGGTGGGCACGGGCAGCTTCGGGGCCAGCAGCAGCCCTCTCACACCATTAGGTCACTCTCAGAGCCAGTTCCAGGCACAGGTGTCCCCTGGCCCCGGACAGCAGGGCCTCTTGCCTGGCTAAACATTTCAGTTTGGGATGGTCATGACAGTCCTAATAATTCGTTTGAGCCACAAAAAGGCAACATTAGGGGCCAGTGGGTGACATGGTGGTTAAGGTGCTAGACCGCCACATGGCTGACCATGGTTGGAGTCCCACATCCGGCAGCTTGAAAATCACACCGGGCGCGTGTGTGAGTGTGCCCAAAATCCCAGGAGAGAGGAGAAGGAACTGTGGTGTGCTCGAACCCCCCCAGGGGCAATTTCTCGTTCCCTCTTTCTAGTGAGTGCATATGACAAAAACCTAAAAAGAGAGGCAGTATCGTAGGGACAGTGGGGACCAACCATACCTCTCAACAACATGATCGAGAAACTGCCCATTCTGCTCTCTCACGGGGGCACCTGTGTCACTGCAGCTTAAGTGACCAGCCCCAAAGATGCCGTGGGACCCGCCTGGCTCTCTGCTGGACACCCACCCCTCAAAGACTAGGCTCCATGCAGTCGGGCACCTTCCCTCCTAAATCAGGGGGCAGGAAGCCACAGGGAGGACCCCACACCTGAGCTCTGTCACTCACCACTATCCACGTCCCAGAGTCACAGCCTTTAATGGCCAGTGCGGGGGAGGCTCAGGAGGCCTGCTTGTCAAGGCTCCAGAAGTTTCATCTTTACAAAGTCACACCTGTCAGAGGGTCACCTGGCGGGGGGTCACCTCTGAACCACCTTCTCCGGTCTGTTACCGGCAAGCTCCAGGAAGCACAGCCCTTGTCACAGAACACTGTTGCCTGCCCAGAGCTGGCCACAGCTCTGCCCTCTTGGGAAGCAGCGTTTTCTCGCGAGCCCATCGGTTTACATTCGATGGCAGGGCTCAGTAGCTGTGACACCCTGTGGCCCAAGCCCACAACACTTACCACTTAGGAAAGTGTGCCATGGGCTGGTCAGTGGCACGGTGGTTAGGGTGGCTGGATCCCACATGACCAACTGCGCGGTTCCAGTCCCAGGTCTGGCAGCTTAAAAAATGCCCTGGGCACATGTGTATGCATGCCCAGAACCATGAAAGGAGAGAGACTGGAGAAGACTGAAATGCAACCATCCCCCATAGGGGGAGGAAGGGGTGCTTTCTCACCCCCCCACGTGCCCTCTGGCAAATTAAAGAAACAAAAAAAGGTGCTGACCCTTGTCCCAGGCTTTCCTCACTCAGTGCAATCCTCATGGAGCACGACCTGGGTAGGCCTGGGTGCCCAGCAGACTGTGGTGACCAGGTGACCATGGCCGACTCTGCTGGGCACACAGGGCCTGGCTCTAAGAGACAGATGCTAAGCCCTCGCCCAGACCAGTGGGCCATGTGGCCAGGTCTGGCCTGCTCAGAGGTTGGCCACGGCGTTCCAAGGAAGGGAGGAAGGAGCGAAGGTGGGAGAGGCGTTCAT